AGACAGGTCCCATCTTTTAGCCAATGTAGGTGGAGATTTTTTTTTTGGAAAAGCAGTTCTAAGTTGGGTGTCTTCTTGCTTTAATAAGCCTTTTCTTTTCCCTTTTCTTTTTCCCTTTTCCCTTTTCCCTTTTCTTACCATGGACAGACCTTGGGTTTATAGCTCATCCCTAGTGCCTTGCACTCACACCATACAGAAGACATCAACAACCTCTTCCTCTCCCCCTGATTCCTAATTATGCCTCCCCACACTGGTCACACAGCCCTGTCTTTCCTGGCTCTGGAGCCAAAGGATAAAAATCAGAAGTGTCTATTGAACTCAGTAGGCTATTGATCAGCAGACTGAATTCACCACATTCAACAAAAGAAAGGTATTTGATAAAGGCATAGGCTGATAGAATCATAGGTTGAGTAAGAAGGGACCTCCAAAGATCGTCTAGTTCCTCTCCACTGCAAAGAGCAGCAACATCTTCAACTAGACCAGGTTGCTCAGAGCCCCATCCAACCCGACCTTGAATGTTGCCAGGGATGGGACACCTACCACCTCTCTGGGCAACTTGTTCCACTGTTTCTCCACCCTCAGTGTGAAAAATTTCTTCCTTATACCTCGTCTAAACCTACCCTCTTTTAGTTTCAAACCATTACCCCTTGTCCTATGGCAATAGGCCCTGCTAAAAAGTTTGTCCCCATCTTTCTTATAAGCTCCCTTTCAGGGTTGAAGCCTCGCCCCAGAGCTTTCTCTTCTCCAGGATGAACAGCCCCATTCCTCACAGGACAGGTGTTGCATCCCTCCGATGTCTTTTGTGGCCCTTCTCTTGACCCACTCCAACAGAACAAATTTTTATCTTGGTAATCAAAAAACATTCCCCCCAAACATTCCCACCCCTAGGTGATAATTATTTTTTCTCTTGTGTTTTTAAATTCTGGTTTTGTTTCAGTCTTTTGAGAAGAAAGGACTGTCACTAATGTCACATATCACTTAGGATGAAAAAATCAAAGAATATGGCAGCAGAATTTGGAAACTGCCCCTGTTTCCTGAAAAGCGAGAATTTGAAGAATAAGAACCGGTACCGGTCACACACAAAAGAGGAGGAGGAGGAGGGGGGTGGTACTTTTCCAAAGTATTCCACTTATCAATGCCAGTCCTGCTTTTTGCCCTTCAAGAACTGCTCCGCTCTGCTTCTTGGCCAGAAATGAGACAGAGAGCCCGAGAGCACCAGGGCATGAGGAATTTGTGCTAGGCTAAAACGTACAGAGATAAACTGGTAAGCTGAGCCAATGGGTTTATTTGGGGACTGAAGGCTGGACTGATCAGCCAAATGTGTGGTTAGTTAGTCATAGCCAACTTACATTGTAGCTCTGGAAAGGCGAGAAAGCAGAGATGTTTCACCCCATGGTACCTTTTGACCTGGAACTTCTATGCTTAGTGGTCTAATTGCAGCGGAGTTGGGCTGTTCTGACAATAAAATCCCTTTGTGGAGGACCCACACAGAAGTTTTGATCTGATAGTGCTGAAGTTTGGATGTTATGAGATTGGGAGCAGACATCTCTCAAAATGCTGCTTGCTTTAGCAGCTTGTTTTAGCAGCATGGTAGATTTCTTCTCAGAAATGCTGTACGTGGTGATTGATTAGTTTATTGAAAGAACTCGGCCTAATCAATAGAATGTGAGGTTTCACCCAAGTGTTCCGTCTCATGTCTCCCTATTTATCATCACATACCCACTGTCAAGCGTTTAGAGCTCTCAGTCCTACTCCTGCTCCCTGTCAGCTGAAGCGGCTCCTTGCATGGCCTCGTGCCTTCACCTCACTTCCCTGAGTGACTTCGTCTTGTGGGTTTTCAGGAGAAGTGGGAAGGAACATGCTCAGCGGGGCGGTGACTTCTCATCCCAGGCTCATCTGTATTTGCCCTGTTGCCTGTCGTGGACATGAATCCAATCTCGTAAAGTTTATGCATCAACGGGCTTACGGTGTCATTGTCCAAGCTTCCAAATGGAATGCCTAAATCCCTCACATGAAATACATTATTCTAAGGTAGTATTATTTGTTGCATTTTTATCTGCATTTTATTTTCCTGCCGATTTTAAGACGGTTTATTGAGTCATTATGACAGTGCTTTAGTTTAATGGTCTTTTTTATTTAGCTGCAGTCTACTTTGATTTTGGAGCATTCAGCTACTGAAGTCTTCCCAGGAGGAATCACCTGTGGTCCATGGACATGCCCACATGTGCACATGGGTGCAGACACACACGCACATCAACACTTCTGGAAACATGAGGCAAGATGTAATTTACCAGGGGCAAAACTGGCACGGTTCTATAAAACTTGTTCTGTGACAATAAAAATTTACAAGACTTGGCAGGTTTTTATTATTAGCTGTAGCAAAGAGTTGATACTGGAGGTGTGATTCTCTATTGCACACCAACAGGCTACCACCAAGAAGCTCTCAGTCCTTCCACAGGCCTGATAAAAGAAGATAATCCTATAAAGAAAAAATAATTCAGGCTGGAAGGGACCTCTGTTCATTCATCCTCCTGCTGAGCATAGGACTAACTTCAGAGTTAGGCGAGCTTGCTCAGGGCCCCGTGCTGCTGGCGTTTATGACTCTCCAAAAATGGACACTCCTCACCTGATCTGGGGCTTAACCACTTTCCTGTACACAGTTTTCGCACACCATGTATGTCAGTGTCTTTCCTGTCCTGGGGAGACCAGAGTGGGTCACAGGGGTCTGCATGCAGTCTCAAAAGTGCCAAAAAAGAGAGGAGAGTATTTTTTGTTTTTTAAATTTACTTTCTCTTGGCTTTTTTACTGGATTTTACTGGGGTTTTAATTGGTTTTTATTGTTTTTGTAATTGTTGATTCCCCAGCGGAAGAGCTGTCACTGCATCCTGAATGTTTCCAGAGATGGAGCATTTACTTTCTTTGATGATCTGCTGCTATTCTGCACCCACTGCCAGGGTGGGTCTGGCTTCATCTTCACCCACCCATTCGGTAGCTGAGGTGTGAGCAAGCTGAGGACAGACACCCCACTATGGTTTTTCTCATCCTCAGACTGAAAAAATGTCAACTCTGGGCCCCAATAACCTGCGTGGTGCTCCAGGGGAGACCAACAGGCTGCGTCAGTCCCCAGTGCTCTCTGGTGGTCTTCTGCAGTCTACAGAAATTTCTGGCAGTCTCCAGTGGTTTCTGGCAGTGTTTGGTGCTCTTCAATGGTCGCCAGTGGAATGCCAGCAGGAGGGAGGCCGAAGCAGCTCATCTCCCTCGCACCAAGCGAGCTGCAGCACTGGCTCACCAGTCACGGGGGAGCGTCCTGCAGCACCAGCCCCACTCATCAAGATGCCTCTCTGCACTGGCTGCTGATAGCAGCCTGCACCAGGCTCGCTTTGGTTTTCCCGTCTTCCTTTCCAGGAGGTGTTTGTGTTTCATCTGAGCTTCAAAACTGAAATCCTGCGGCTGTGCGTTTCCTCCTGCACTCAAAACCAAAGCGGAGGCACATCCCTGTGGTGCAGCTGCCCCAGTTGCTGCAGGTTGATGGCCTCCAGCTGCTTCGGTGGAGGGCAGCACCAGCACAGGGGCATCCCAGGCACTTCAGCATGCCGCAGCTGCGTGACTAAGCTGAAGCAGCAAAAGGAGGTCCTTGAGCGGATGGGGAAATGCCTCCTGCCCGCTCGGGTACTGTACACCTCTCCACAACCCTCCAGGTGATGGCACACACTCAATGCCCACCGGGGTGACCTCCAGGATGAAACCTTCACACCCCGATACACAGCTGGAGCCGATCTCACTCATAGCCTTTCCTCAGTAGCTCTGGCTCAAGTTTTCAAGGGCCACAGTCCCGGGATTTACCAATGTTTCTCGTATTTACCTGAAAAGCAGACAGGACTCCAACCGCCTAACCAAAGTTAGCATTTGCCATCCTGGAAAGGGTTTTCTGCAAATGTGCCCCGTCTACTTGCACAGACAAGATCTGTTCCTGAAGACTTCTCAACAGAGTCACCTGCTCCTCCCACACAACACTGTCCCCATCTCCGGTCCCTTTCACACTCCTCTGACTCTCAAAGACAGCGGAGCGTGACAGCAAACATGCTGCTGCTGGCAGCGCTTGTGGCCACAGCTGCTTGGTCTTGTAAGTCCTTCCTTACTTCCTTACCTTTCCTCACAGGCACACAGGGCTCTGCTAACAGGCATCTTCACAAAGCCCTGAATTCCACCTGATGGCATCATTTCTCCACTTTTTGTTTCCTAGATGGATTTGCACAAGAAATTCCCATGCAGAGCCCTCTGTCCATCACCAAGTCTAAAGGGACTGTCCGCCTGGAATGTCATTTCAAAGACTTCTCTGGAGATTTTGATGGCACCCCCATACACTGGTATCAACAGAAGGCGAATAATGGTCCACAGAGAATTCTCTACTCAGCATGGACAACAATAACAGATGCGGGCTTCCAAGCACACAGGTACAGGGTTGAAAAAAATTCAAGACAGAAACTGTGTATGCTTACAATAATTGATGTCATTCCAGATGACACTGCTACCTACTATTGCGCCTACTGGCATCGTCACCGTGGCAGGAACTCTGAGATCCCCGAGACAAATACTCCCTCAGCGTCTCAACCACAAACAACTTGAAGATTACTCACGTCCCCTAGCGGGGATGAGCTGCCTGGCCTCAGGCACAGGCTCTGGAGAAGCAGGACATGCTCGGTGCTGACAC